CAGGACATGGGATGGCAAAGAGTTTCCCTTCTCTTGCTTGTCTCTGAGGCAGCTCCTGAGCCACTCCTGTGTGGAGAGGGAGCATGGCAAGCACCTACAGATGCTGGGCAACCCTTTGCATCCTCCATCCTCTCCAGCATCCCTGCAACTGCAGCATCCTACAACCCTCCATCATCCTTCATGCCAGGATTGCATCTTCCCAGCATGTGGGATGGCAAAGAGTTTCCCTTCTCTTGCTTGTCTCTGAGGCAGCTCCTGAGCCACTCCTGTGTGGAGAGGGAGCATGGCAAGCACCTACAGATGCTGGGCAACCCTTTGCATCCTCCATCCTCTCCAGCATCCCTGCAACTGCAGCATCCTACAACCCTCCATCATCCTTCATGCCAGGATTGCATCTTCCCAGCATGAACAGCCAGGAGCAGCCATAGGGAGAGCTCAACTGCAGCAAGTACAGCCTCAGTCCACCAAACTTCACAAAGACTTATTGATAAAGGCTTGTGAAGGATCTCCAGGTGTTCCTGGTGCAGAGAGGGGTGTTGGGGACATGGCTGTTCCCAAAGAAGCTCCCCTGTTGCTCCATTCCCAAGGTGCTGACGTCAACCTCCTCCCAGCTGCAGCCTGGATGGTATTAGGTCAAGCTCGTGCAATAAATCTAGGGAACAGTCGGTGTTTATTTGGATTTACTGCTGCTTAGATCGTTAATGCTCTGCATGCCCCAAGCCATGCACAGCCCCTTCCCTCCCCCCAGCACTGAGGGGCTGCTCCCAACTGCCTGGCTGGGCTGAAGGGGATGGGAATGGGGAGTATGCCAGGCAGGGAAAGCACAAATCACCCAGGATGGCAGCTCCCACCTCCTGACCTGGGGCTGCTTCCCTATTTGTCACATCTCCCCCTTTCCATCCCTCACATCTCCCCTTCTCCATCCCTCACAGCTCCCCCTCCCCATCCATCACATCTCCCCTTCCCCATCCCTCACAGCTCCCCATCCCTTCCAGCTCCTCCTCCCATCCCTCACAGCTCCTCTCCATCCCTCACAGTCCCCATCCCAGCAAAGCCACAGCTGCCTGGATTTGTCCCAAAAGAGAAACTTCATCCAGACTTTATCCCTGACCCAGCAGTCTCCACGTGGTCAGAGTAAGGCTGGAGTGAGTCTGCTGGATCCATCCCTCACAGCCCCATGTACCCGGGGATGCTGTTAGGGACAGTCCTGACCCTGCTGCAGAAGGGATGGGGCTGCTGCTCCAGTGAGTATTGCAGAACACAAGAGAAGGTTTTTTCCAGAGCACAGATTTTGTGTCTGTTTAGGGCTGGTGGTCACACAAGCCACCTCCACACCCTGGATCAGCCTCCTCCCATGGCTGGGATGGGGAACAGGCTCACAGCACTCCAGGTGGTCTGAGCAGCTCTCTCCAAACACCGAATGCAAAGCTGGGCTGGGTGGGCTGGGAGGAAACTCCAGTGTGATGCTCAGCCTGGCTCTGTCCCCTCTGCCTCATGCCACCCCCTACCCTGCCCTGCCAGCAGCAGGATGCCGAGGGCCACCGATTAGCCAGCTCGAGCCAAGGGCCATCAGCTCCATCCCTGCAATTACAAGTTCCCAGCTAATGGCTCTTGGCAGGGGTTCGCTAACCAGCTCAGAGCTGCTCCCCCCCCTCCGGCTTCATTAGGGAAATTAGCCAGGGTCAAGGCAAAGCTGCTGCAGGCACTGCCTGGGCTGGGGGAGTGCAGCACTTCTGGAGATGTTCAAGTCCATCAGAGGCAAAAAGGAGTGGGAAGGTTTAAATGTGCCCTTTGTAGGCTCTGCTGTGAGCCATGCTCAGGATTGTCCTGCAGACAGAGAACAGCTCTGGTCATGTCCCCATGAGCTGTCACTGCCCATGCCATGGGGACAGCCTGAGCCAGGATCTGGGCCCTTCAGATCAGGTGCTGGAGCAGGTCCAGAGAAGAGCAATGAGGCTGGGGAAGGGACTGGAGCACAAGTGCCATGAGGAGAGGCTGAGGGAGCTGGGGGTGTTCAGCCTGGAGAAGAGGAGGCTCAGGGGAGACCTTAGCACCCTCTGCAACTCCCTGACAGGAGGTTGGAGTCAGGTGGGGGTTGGTCTCTTTTCCAGGCAACCAGCAGCAGGACAAGAGGGCACAGACTCAAGCTCTGCCAGGGGAGGGTTAGGTTGGCTATTAGGAAGAGATTTTTTATGAAGAGAGTGATCAGGCATTGGAATGTGCTGCCCAGGGAGGTGGTGAATTCACCATCCCTGGAGGTTTTCAAGCTGAGACTGGATGTGGCACTTAGTGCCATGGTCTAGTGACCATGGTAGGGTTGGACTCGATGATCCTTGAGGTCTCTTCCAACCTGGTTGATTCTATGATTCCACGATCCATCCTGGTCCTATTCTTCCAACATCCAGGAAGGTCACAGATCTGCTG